GAGAGCGTATCGGGAGATGGAGACCAACAAGACCTCCCTCATCCTTGGTCCTATCTCAAAGGATTTTTAGAAAATAGTCGATATTCATATAGTGGCATCTGGCTGTTTTTTTTAAAGGTTACTTTATACTTTTATACTTTAAGTAGTTTTTGGAGCACATTGTTTTTCACTTTTATTGAGTAAAGAGGTCAAGTTGATACTTTTACCAGAGTGTTTTTAAACTGCAGTATCTATACTTCTTCTGCAGTAAAAAATGTGTGAACTTTTGACACCACTTCCCAGAAGTCAATTCAATTCAGTTTATTTCTATAGCTCCAATTCACAACACGTCATCTCAAGGCACTTTACAGTTCACCAGATCATACAAAGTGATTCAAGGTTTTCTATCTAAGCAAAACCAGTTGATTGCATCAACTCATTGACTCTAAAGTAATCCTTCAGTCAGTCTTTCCCTTCTATTTAAGGCTAAAGGGAACACCCTATTAGAATGAATCTGGCTCTCTTAAGGTCTTCCTTCATTAAGATGTAACCACATCATTTCTGTGCCAGAAGGCAGTGGAAATCTGCAATCTATCTTATGGCAGGGATGTCAGTTACATTTAACATTGTTGTTTCTAAACAGATTTCCAGGAAGTACACAGATCATCATAGGTCATCACAGGTCACCAGGATAGAAGTCCTCTTACAGCTAACAGGGGAAACAGTATTTTCTATGCCTGTCTGTAACATAATCGTCATTTCATCCTGTGTGAAGGAAACAGCCAGTGTGTGGAGTCCCTTCTGTCTCATGGAGCAGATCCAGACTACCAGCTCCCCCACCTGGGCTCTCCTCTCTATGTCAGCTGTCTGCACCGACACACCGCCTGCTCCAAGATGTTGTTGGATAGAGGTGTGTAAGCCCTTTCTATCCATCCTCCTAAACAGCTACATATACCCTGTGTTCATGTAAAATCTGCTGAAAGTTTGTGGCTCTCTAAGCAGCAGCAACACATTTTATTTTTACATTAAATCTGCATCAAACAGTAAAACCAGCGATTCAAACAGCAGCCCACTTCCTCTAAGCTGTGTTTGGGAGATCGTTTAATTTGAATAACATGTGACATTAACTGAGAATATCTTATTTCAATTTCCCTTTTGCATTAATAAAGTATTTTTTATTTGAATTCAGTCTTCTGTACAGGCTACAGTTATCATAGTAAACCAGTTTTCCTGCATGATGTTGGTCCTTTAAAAGACTTCACTTCATACAAACAACATCAGAATCAGGCTCAGCAACATGATAGCCAATAACTAACTTTGGGTATTCTTCACTCAGTAACAGCTTTCACACTAAAGCAGTGGTTCTCAAACTTTTTCTGTCATTCCCCACTTTGGACAAGGGGGAATTTTCAAGCCCCGCCTGTCCCCATCGCCCCAACACAATGCTAATGAAATATTCAACAATCTTAAAATGTTCCAATTTTATTGAAGTAACAAGTAGTATCTAAATACAAACTATCTACATCAAATAACAGCAAGCTCAAAAATAAA